TTTWAAAWWWWAAAAAWYYWAAATATAATTARGATAATTATTGAGTTCTAACATAATACTTAATTATTATCTTTATAAAAAAATATTATTAAACCTAAATTAAGTTAATTCGTTACGTTAAATTAAATTATAATAAAAAAAATTTGAATTAAAAAAATAAACAAACAAGAACTTTTAATTAGATCATTTGATACTAATATTGATATAATTTTTATAAATTTTATATGATATTTTCAAATTTATATTTTATTCAAAAATAAGAATATTATCGTTTTCTCAAAACCACATAGAAAAGAAAACGAAACATTAAAATGGAAACGTGTCTCGATGCATTTGCACGAGTACCGTTCTAGTTTCAATAAACATAAAAACTAACGTCACTTTTAAGTTTTAATTAATATTAATTTATTGTCTATACTTAATTATAAAGCATTTGACAAAAACTCTTAAAAAACCATTTTTTATACATGAAATACTTTATAGTGAAAATCATCAAGTTTAGGCATGATCTTGATGTTGAACTTAAGTTTAATCGATCATACAATAGCCTAAGGTGTTGATTAATGTTTTAGGGGGCGTTTGGTTCGTAGAATGAAATTCGATGGAATTGGAATTCATCAAATGAATTTGACTTTGAGGGAATGTAATGAAATTTGACCATGCCTTGTGATTGCGTTTGGTTATATGGAATTGGAATGAAATTCTTAACGGATTGGAATTTTTTTGTTTGGTTCACATAATTTAACTTTGGAATCGGAATTAAATATCAACAAATGACCTTTTATGATTTTTGAATAACGGAATTGGACTAGTGATATCGATAACTAGTTATCTTGAATCGATTCATTGATTACATATGTTGTCTATCGATCTCGTATAGATGGAGAAATTACGAGAGAGAGAGAGAGAGAGAGCGTACCAGATAGAGATCGAACCAAATATCAATTAGATGATATGGTAGAAGCAACGTTGAATGAATTTGGATTAGGGAAGGAATTTGTCGGAAATAAATTGAAATCCAAGGGTATTGTCGTGGAATGTAAAATCTGTGAGTGAAGGAATTTATTGGAATTAAAATGATTCTATCAGCTTTATTTCATGAACCAAACATTGTATTTGGTCAAAAGATTTGGTCAAAAGATTTGGTCATTCCAATTCCATCCAAATCCATGAACCAATCAGCCCTTAGTGTTGATTTTTAGTCAATTTTGAGGTCTTAAAGCCATTGAATTAAGAAAATAAACAAGTATGTTGTAAGAAGCAAGAATCTTGATTAGATTTTTGTAAGCAAAAAAAGAGAGTAATTTTGATGCTTTATGACCAAAATATGCTGAAGAGTCCATTATGTTGAACCAGTAGTCCCTTTGCACTCAAAGCAAGCTTGAGGAGCTCCACGTGTTTTCTAGTGCAAATGATGGACATGAGAAAAGTTAAGAGCTTGCCTGCGAGTTCATGTAGTGCAAACGAGACTAAAAAAGCGAGTTTTAAGCTCGCTCATGATCTTACATCCATTAAACCTAATTAGGTGATTAGTTTTCAGAAACCTACATGATTAGGTGAGCATTCATGCATCTTACAAAACGGGACACATGTCGAGTATGATTTCAGAGTGATTTTACATGTTATGTGTTACACGTTTTAAACTATTTTAGCATGTTGAAAGTATTTTTGATATATCGCTTATGTACAAACAATACTTATGGTAGTTGTATGGAACACAAATCAAGACATCAAGTCGTTGGTTCAGTTTCTATAAGAGAAGAAAGCCCTAGTATCAATTAAGACTGATATATGTTATCAAGGCCTTTCTACACTGTCAAGTATCAGTATATCAGATGTTCCCCACCATACAAATTATGATTTGGACCCCTTCATTTAGATCTATATATGATGTATGCATGTATGTGCATATGTATTTCAGAAGGGTTACAACATTTGCATAACATGTTCTATGAACGTGCTTCCAGCGTTGTGATGTATGCTTACACACAATCCCAATATGATTTAATTGTTACTAACATGAACTGTTTTAGCATGAAAACCATGAATTCCTTGAGCTTATTAGTGTCATGTATATCAGGGGAGGGCAAAATAGGTATGCATTTTTGAGATTTTTAATGTTTTAAGTTGTTCCAGTTTTGTTCTAGTTTGGTATGAAGCAGACTAGTCTTGTTAGACATGTGGTAATAAGTCATTAACTTTGTTTTCCAATTCAGATAAGACGTCTGCTATTTATGTTGGTTTTCAAAATTGAACAACATAAAATTTAAGTTATCCGATGCATGTTGTTGAGATTATTATAACATTCAGAGTATACAAATTTAGGTTATAAACGGTTCTTTTTATCATACTATAAGGGTACTCGCGTAATGCAGCGATATACATCTTGATTTTAATATTTTATTATATTATTTATCTCAATCGATGTTATAATATGGTCTTATGTGATTTTGAAAAAACGATGATGTTTTTATTTTTGAATAAAATATAGATATGTCAAAAATATATTGATATTAGTATTAAATTAATATTTAAAATTCCTCATTTTTTGTGTAATTTTTAATTCATTTTTTT